TATTTGGTACATAGGTTATCCAACACTAGAGAAATAGGGGTCAAGTGGTTATGCTCAATGGTGTTATAAATTAACCATGCACTTATAAAATGTATCTATTATTTTGAAACTGATTTTTCACTTATCCCCAATATTGATCCAAATGATGGAACTACTTTGTAGATTGTTGCATTAAATATTTACGATCTAGTGTCCGAGACAAGCACATCATCTAAGAATGGTACAGGGAAGTGATATAATGTCTTGTAAATTTGTTTATTACTTAATTATCAACACTTATTTGTTAGGTCCCATTATTTGGGGTAGACAGGCCAATGAGCATATTGGGGATAATAAGGCTTTATCGAATGAATAAACTAGTATGCTGGCCATTAACTTGTTTCTTAAGTTTATCATGCTCCCTAGGGCGGTCATCCTATATTGAGAAAATTGGGTAATTGTGTAGCGCTATGTTTATGGCATGTTGGTTCTCACATATGTTGGAGCTTTTTAGGATACTTGTCAGAGGTCTTAATTGGTTGTAGGCTGGATTTTGTGAGACAATAAGGTAATAATCGTGCTATCTTATCTTTTTTATTCAAACACTTGAGGAGCCGTTGAATTTTCTTGGGGTGTGAATTTGCTTGGGGTGTGAATTTGCTTTGCTTGGGGTGTGGATTTAAAGAAATATACTTTGCTTGGGGTGTGAATTTGCTCTTGACCGTCATGCTTATTTTTTTATTAAAGGTTGAAATTTTTTTTTCTTGAACATGTACTACCGGAACCCACATGATGTGAATGATATTTATAATAGGATGCCAATGATCTTCATATGTACAATATCACAACAAATGCAATCAAAACAGTTACTGATTGGGTTGAAACAAGACAATGCTTTATGGTAAAAATTGGAGTCTTATTGACGCAAGCTTCCTTACATAGTTGGGCTTGTGGTTTAGGTGTCACTCATAGACGTGATAAGATGATTTTGAAAATAATTTTTTTGGATTTTTCACAATCGATGGTTAATTTTATTTTATATTTTATTTATTTATTTTTTTGCTACAAGTAGCATAACTGAGAACAGGTTTGATGAATATCACTTTCATAGTTTCTTCCATGAAATTCAGATCTTCACACTCGAATAGGAACTGTGGTCTTTAAAATCTTGATGAAGGGAGGCACCAGATATGCTAAGCCATAGTGGATTGTTGAAGATAGGCTTACCCATCTTTTGTTTGTTTTTGTTTTTGAGCACGTGTGATGATTAACACCATAAAGTGCGTTGGTTTGTATGTTTCAACTTTAATACAAATGCTTGTAAGTATCATCCAATTAGTTTCAATCTATTTAGGAAATCAGTGAAAATACAAGAACATTATAGAAGGCTTTAGTTGGGCAATGAACTTTTGTATATTATGTTGGAGAATACGTCTTTAACAAAAAATACTGACAAATGACTAATCACGTGTTAATAAGTGGTGCACCCTACTTACAGGCTCATATTTTATCCTTTTTTCTGAAGCTTTTCAAGGCTTGCGAGTTTCATAGATATGAAATGATTCTATATTATATTAATCATATCTTACTAGTTTCAAGTCTCTTTGAATTTAGTTAGCTAGTCAATAAAAGGATTTGTATTATGGCATTCCTTTAAGGATAGATAATCTAACTTGATTAAGGTGGAGTCATCATTAAGTGATTGTGACAACAATTAGGCTGTTGATGGCGATGTATTTCACGATTGCAAAGAATAAATCCACATCGTTCTTATTGAGATAATCATAATGCTAAGGAAGTCTAATCAGCATGAAAAGTATGTGATGTCTCTCAATTGAGGATCAAGATTGTGGTAATGTTGTTCATGAAGGTTGTTCTCATAGAAGATTGTGGTAGTGTTGTTGCTCATGGATGTTGTACTTATAGTAATGTTCGATGCATTTATGGGAAAAAAATTATTTCCGGACTCCGGACGTAGCTCTATGTGCGGACTCCCAGTAATATACCGTCATATGTGCTATATCGAGCTCACCTAAAAAAACTATTAAAGTGGAATCGCGAACTCCACAATAACCTTGAAATAACCTCGAAATAGCCTCTGCGGTTTCACCCAATAAACCCAAAATAACGTAGAAATAACCTCAAAATAGCCTCTGCGGTATTATTTCGGGTTATTGAACTGGAACCGCGGATGTTATTTCTGGACTATTTCAGGGTTACTAAAGTATTGTATATGAGTTTCTCTTTAATAATCCCGAAATAACCTCCGCGGTTCCACTTCAATAACCATGAAATAACCTCTGCGATGTAGCACACGCGGCGACATGTTATTGGAGACCACACGTAGAGCTACGTCCGGAGTCCGGATAGAAATTTTGTCCGCACTTATGAGACCGAAATGAGGAAAGTGTCAAATGGGCCATCATTTAGGAGATCATATGATGAAGTTGTTTTGGTTGAATAGACCCAATGTGTTGTGTTGTATTCATGTTGGGTTCTAGACAATTAACACCATTTGAAGTGCCTTCCCCCATTATATATATGGTTCATTGTTTCAGTGAGAAAGCTAGATTTTCATGGATTGCGCCAACATTAACTGAGGCGTCAAAAAATTGGTTCTCATTGAATAGTGCTTTTGATTCAGATGTAGATAAGCATGCTTCTACGTTTTTTGTTTTTTTTTTTCCATGCAAAATTGTACCGATCAAGTTATACAAAATGTCACATGTTTTAAAAGTTAAAGTCTCTATATGCCATCATTTTTTATTGGAAATTTTGTAAGCTAACAAAGATGAATATATTGTGTTCGTATAAATATCAAAATAATGTAAACGTTTTAAAGTAATAGGAACTGAAATGTAGAATCAAAGAAAATGAGCACAGAAGAAACTATAGAAAATTTTGATAAGCCTTAAAGTTCACTGCAAAAGCTTATGCTTTCAATAAAGATCATACTAGGTAGTAGTAGAAGTTAAATAATTGAACCCTGGTCTCTTCCCACTTCTGGTATCCTCCCCCTCCTGGGTGGCTTAAGGTAAATGTTGATGGGGTAGTTCTACCCTCTAGTATTGATGACATGGGAGCTATTATCTGGGACGAGCTTGGTCGTGGTCTTGCGGCTATAGCAAAGTTTTTGGAGTATTGGGACATTGGTCAGTTGGAGCTTCGAGCTGCGTATTCTTTCCAACCTCTTTGTGAGCCATGAATGCAAGAGTGCAAAGGCATCATCATTGAAGTTGAGAACATCAAAATCTTTTATTTTTTGCAAGCCACTATGCGGAGGGAGAATTGGCAATAGTTACCTAGTGTGGCTCCTGATTTTGCTTTTCTTACTTCTCTTAAGCAAGTTCTTTTTGTGAATACATCATGTGAATGTAATAGGGCCACTCATTATTGTGCCAAGCATGCCCTTAGTGATTCTTTTGTTTTGATGCATCTGAATGATGATAAGGAACTTTCTACCATTTTGGTAGATGATAGGTTCTTTTTTTTTGTACAACATAGATGCATACTGCGAGTTTTTGGTACTTATATGATTCTAGTAATGCAAATACATATTTTTACGGAAAGAGGTGATGTCAAAGGTTGGTGTCATCTAAAGTAATTCAATATATGACATGGTATGTTGTTGTGAAACCAAAATTACTATGTTGGATGGTTCGTATTGATGCAATGGTGGGATGGGAGATGTTGCAAGTAATAGCATGGAGTGGGTGAGTACAATTGACAGGTTGTACGTGATAGTTCCTAAGTATTTTGATAGCTTCATCCATGGAGTGGCAATGGCGATGCCTTAGAGGATGGCATGACTCAGGAGGTTCGAACCTGGCGAGAAGGTTTGTGTGTTGTGTGGTGGAACACTATGACATGGGCAGACGAAGATGAGAAGGTGCAAGGTGTGAGGGGGTTGGATTGATGCTTTGTTAAATAAAAGTTTGTTGCAGAGGATAATCAAGTAGCAGAAATATAGATGGGCTAGCTTTTTGGAGAGGGCATAGCCGGTGGAGTATGCAGAGGAGCAAAGATAATGCAATTGAAAGCGATGCAGCTACTATAACAAGCAGTGGAATGAATGTTCATGATTGCACGTGAAGGCAAACTTCTTTGCTTTGATCAGAAGGAGATGCAGGCATTAGATCATAATCGTGATATGGTTGATCGGCAAGCCTCTGATGCTACCTGAAGCATCCATTATGACGAGAAAAGGGAACGAACTAGGTTAACCTGGCAAATGAGAAGAAAGAGATATAGATTGATATTGCAATTATAATTTCTTTAATATTCTTATGATGCTCATTAACATTAAGCAAGCAGGAACGAAAAAACACAAACTGCTTATATTCTATTTTTATATGAAAATGAAGCTTTTTTACTCGTTATTTTGTTCCCCGATGATTTGCTAGATTGAGAGAACACAATTTTTTGCTATTATATTGCTGGATTAAGTAGGAATAATCAATTATTTTCTAATTTAGGGAATTTATTTCATAGTTGTCTTGCTAAATTTGTCTTATTATACTATTTATAAATCAACACATCAAGTCCTTTCATGGATGAATAAGTATTTTTAGATTTTGAGTTCTGCTACATATGCTAAAAGCATTGTTGAACTCCGGTATCTTTTGCAGCTACTTCAAAATCTAGTAGAAGTTGTGTAATGAATTTTTGAATATATTCTCTGTATATTCTACTAAATATTTGTGATATTCACAATGTGGGCCCATGTTAAAGCCTATAATTTTGTGGATAGGCATTTAAATAGCTCTTAAAATTTGTTCAATTGCAATTTTAGTTGCATAAGGATACCATGATTATGATAGTATTTTTGCATCGTGAGTATCATAATACATGCTTCTGAATAGTATTTACAAAATTCCTCTGTTTAATCTTTATTATTTTTTTCACAAAAAATAGTAAGAGCGTGATTCATGGATTCTCTTTTTCTATTGACCTACAAATTTCAAATTCCGTTTATTATCTATCAAAAAACAATTTATATATTTATTCTAAAATCTTGTCAGGCAAGCCAAAGTAAAATATCGGAAGAAGAGTTACTTGATCGCCTCATGGGTTTTCTTGGCCACTTGGTACAGAGGAAGACATTGAAGGTAACGCTATATGAATTTGCTTTATCTTTTTTTTAGAAATATGATAATTTGTTTTCTCCTTATTTTAATGCTTTTATGGGCTTTCTTGGTACTAAGAGATATTCTCTCATTTGTAAAAATTATCTACTTCATTATAGTATTTCCACATTGTGCTTATGACAATTTTTTTTTCTGCTGCATATTTTGCATAAATCAAGTTTTTTTAGTGCATCTATGTTTTTCTTAACGCACTGATTGCTTCAATAAATCAGCTTGCTGACATATAGCCTTCAAATGCAACGCAGTAATTAAGTCATGCTCCCATAACTTATCTGCTTGAACCAATTTTCGTTGGTGCTCTCTAGCATATATTCTTTGCGGGCCTTGGATCTTATCCCGAATTTTTAGTCGAGAGCAATAAAGTAAACCATACAATGAATTGGAGATAAAACAATAATTTTGTATAATTATTTTATATAATAATATAATAATTTTAAAAATAATATTTTGTTATCATGTTCAAATAAGGCTTTTTTGTTGGTTTCAAATTTTGGTGGGATCCATCTTTTGTTACAACAACAACAACAACAACAACAAAGCCTTAATCCCTCTACATGGGGCCGGCTACTTGAATCATTTTTCTCCATTGATATTTTCATTTAGTAATATGACACTAAATGATATTTATAGATGTGTGACATCTTTTATTGCAGCAATAATCTTTATAGATGTGTGACATAATGTAGGACAATTTATGGTTTCATTCTGTAAATAGAATGATATTATACTTGTAGATTTTGTAAAGGAACTTGGAATTTAAGTATTACAAACAATTAACTATGCCAAAAATAGATTTTTTAAGTGTAAAATTTTAAATACAAGAATGATATGATTTGAAACCAAAATCAGCGAGCAAACAACGACGAAATTAAAATAGATAAGTGAAAAAACATAAATGAGGGCTGCTCTTACAAAATTTAAAGGAAAATAAGTAGGATACAATGATGATCTATTGTTTGAGAGGTAGATCGTCTCTGTCAGAACTCTAGATGTCGTTAGGAACACCACAAGAAGGGAAGAAAACTGCAACCAAAACAAGACATGAATAACAAACCCTAGCCCCCTTTTCCTCCTAAATACTCCCCTAGATTCCTTCCTTTTATTCGTGAGCAATGGTCATTTAATTCCATCCTGGCCGTTGGAATCGCCTATCATATCCCGATCTTGGTTGGCTAGCTCAGACATGCTGCTAGCTGGTTTGGCTTGGCCTGACCGGTCCTCTCTAGACCTGTTCCCTTGCAGGGACGGCTTCACGCTCCCTCTCAAAAAAACACCTTGTCCTCAAGGTAGAAGGACAGAAACTGCTTTTGGATCCCTTCTTAAAACTCACATAGCTTCATAGTCTGGCAGATTTTTCCATCTAATCAGTAACTCCTTTTCTCCTGCCATCCTCAACATACTCTTTCAACCATTAAAGGTTTTAAAATCACCTTCATGTCTTTTGCCAGCATCGGGGGTAGTATAGAAAAGGGTGTATGATCTTTGATAACACGTCTTAGCTGAGAAACATAAAACACATGTTGCATGGTCGATGAGGGGGTAGCTTCTAATGGTAGGCCGCTGCCCTAATGTGTGTCATAATCTCTTAGGGTCCCAAATATCACAGAGAGAGTTTCTCGTTCCTCCTCTCCATAGGGCCTCAACTTTGAGTAAACCTTGTCCCCGGGCTCAAATTGTATCTCCCTCCTATGCTCATCCGCTTTCCTCTTTCATGATCTGTTGGGTTCTCGGTAGATGCCTCTGAGCTCTGCCAATAATTGTTCATCTCCTTCAAGTACTGGTCAACACTGGATACTAGTATGACGCTATGCCTGTAGTGTATCAGGTGAGATAGATCTTACTCATTCAAAATTTTGAAAGGCGTGGTATGTGCTACGGTGTGATATGAAGTATTATACCAATATTATGCCCATACAATCCGCCTTGCCGACAGTTTCGGTGTATCCGATACATGGCAACATAGATGTCTCCACACTTCTGTTGATCACCTCCGTTTGACCATCGGTTTGGGGTTAATATGTGGCGCTCCTCTTAAGGACCATTCCCTATAACCTGAATAGTTGTTGTTGATGAATACCTTGTTTCTAGCTGATATAATAGATTCTGATACTCCGTACAAGCAAACCATTTCCTGAATAAACAATGCCGCCACTAAGACCGCAGTGTAGAGGTGTCGTACTGGGATGAAATGATCATACTTGCTCAGGCGATCCATGTCCATCAAAATCACCATAAACCCTTCTAATCGGGGTAACCCCTTTATGAAATCCATGGTCACTTATTCCCAAATTTTCTCTGGTAAGGCTAGTGGATGTACCTATCCTCCTGGCGCCATGGTCGGGTATACATGTCGCTGGTACACATCACACTGCGCCACCAACTCTCTACATCTCTGCACATCCACACCTAGTAAACTTTTGTCTATAGACGACTGTTGGTCTTCTGTACACCGTAACGTCCCTCAGTTGCACTGCTGTGAAACTGCAATAATCGGGGATGTACTCCGATGCCCTCGGTAACATGAACTATCCCTGGTAGAGAGGTTGTTCCCCTCAACGCATATCCTGGGTGACTGTTTTGATATGTTGCAACTCTGCCTACATTTTCCTCAGCCTTCATCTTTCTCTCTCTCCCATCTCTTTGCTTCCTAGTTGAGGTCCAAGGATGACAATAGGGCTGCCAGCTGAGGCTTCTCCCCCTTCCTCGACAGGTCATCTGCAGCTTTATTCTCCAACCCCAGCTTGTATTGGAACTCAAAATCACATCTCAATAACTTTGATAGCCACCCCTAATGGTCTTCAGTCGCTATTCTTTGCTCCAAAAGGTACTTCAAGCTTCCGATCTATTATGAAAAAAAAGTGTCATCCCAAAAGGTAAGGCTGACACTTCTGAATTACTAAGACAATGCCATCAACTCTCGCTCATATACCGACTTGAGCCTCGCCCTAGCGGGGAGCATTTGGTTGAAGTAAGTAATCGGCCATTGGTCTTGCATGAGTACCGCTCCCAATCCGTATCCTGATGCATCTATCTCTACCATAAATGGTCTCCTTAAAACTAAAAGTGCTAACACCACCTCCCCTCTCTCCCCATCTTGAAATAGCCTTTCTTCAACTGTCTTTAAGTGACCATGCCATCATGTTGTACCCCTTCACAAATTTTCAATACTATCCGCTGAGACCTAGAAATCCTCTCCTCCGTCATGCTCCTGGGTAAAGGCCAGTCCATTGTAGCCTCAATCTTGGATGGATCTGTTGCTACTCTTGCCCTGGTCACCACATGCCCAAGGTACTCCATATATAGATGTGCAAAAGAGTATTTTTTTCAAATTGACGTACAGCTTGTATTCTCTCGACTTCTCTAAAACTGTCGTCAGGTTTTCTACATTGTCTCTGTACGACTGTAGATCAGATTCTTTAAAAAAGATCTGGATGAATTTCTCAAGGTAAGGTTGAAAAACCCTATTAATGAGGGACTGAAATATGGTCGAGGTGTTGGTGAGGAGAAACGACATCACTAAGAACTCGTAATGTCTTCATGTGTCATGAAAGTTGTTTTGAACACATCCGCTGGACTCATCTCGATCTGATTTTCCAGAAGATGACTGCCCAGTAGAACTCATATAGCGACTCATCAATCGTAGTAATAGGAAACTTATCCAACACTGTCTTTTTGTTTAAAGCCTGATAGTCCACGCAAAACTTACAATAATCATTTTTTTTTCACCAACAAAACTGGGCTAGAGAAGGGGCTCACACTGGGTCTAGTAATCCCATCCTTGTGCATCGCTTGGATCAACCTCTCTATCTCATCCTTCTGCATCTGAGGATACTAGTACGGTCTCACACTGATAGGGGGCACTCTCTCCTTTAACTTAATGGTGTGCTCGTGCTCCCTTGGGGATGGTAACCTGCCTAGTTGCTAAAAGATGTCCGTAATTATTGTAGGAGCTACAAGTGCCCTTTGGAAAACTTTGCCAACTTAAGGTTTCCGACCTCAATGCTTTGTAACTCCACCAAGTAGCCCATCCCTGCTCCCCGTATTGACTTGACCATGGTTTTGAACAAGGCCATGATTTTGCATATCCCATCTCTTAGCATCAACTTTCTGCCCTCCACTTGATACTCCATTACAGATTTCCAGTCCACCTTCATCTTAAGCATCCGTAGCCATTTCACTCCCAGAATCGCATCTGTGTTGCACGGGTCCAATGGAAGAATTCCTCTACTTCCTATAGGGCATGTATTGTTAGAACTATTCTTTTGCAAATTCCTCGACTTTTCTCCTTGTTCCCTGTCTCCATCATGATGCTGAAGCTCCCTATAGTCTCTAGCTCCAACCCTAACTGTTCCACGATCTGATTTAAGATAAAGTTATGTGTGAACCCACCATCCACCAACTCCACTATCGGTTGTACTCCGATCTGCCCTTCACTTTCATGGTGTGATTCAGAATAAATCTCACTATTGAATTGAGGGACACTTATGCTACATCTAAGTACATATGTTTCTTCTCCACTGTGTTTTCCTTTGATTTCTCACCCTAGGTCTCCTCCTAAACTAAAAGGATCTAAAGGGTGGCCTGGAGCATACTTCTTGTCACCACTACACGTTGTCTCTTTGTAATGGTGACCTGGTGCATACTTCTTGTCACAGCGATAACATAATCCTTTTGTTTTTTTATCCTGCACTTCTACATTGGTGAGACACCTGAAATTGCCTTTGAGACGGGTTCCCGTATTCTTCTCCTTGGACATTTCTTTCTGAAATGACACCGTCTGGGTCATCGATGTCGTGGCTATCGATGAACTTTTGTAGAATGCTCTGTGCTGCCGCCTTTGTTGGTCTTCTTAAGTTAATTCTTGTCTTCTATTATTTGGGCGAGCTACATCATTTCCCTCAATCCATGCAGTTTCAGTGGTCGGATGTTTGCTCGAATGTCGGGCTTCAGAGCTTTCATGA